TTGTTTGTTTGCTTGGTTTTGGTGTTTGTGTAGACTTGAGAGTGATGGGGAAATATTTATGTTGTAGATTAAGCTTAGGACTGTGCCCTATGCATAGCCTTCCCACTGTGGCTAGCACAAAACATCGAGGCCTTGCTCTAGTATTCAAAACTCACTGATGAGCGAGTGAAGGTCCAACACATGGATCTCCCAGTGCTCCACTTCCATCTGACCCACGAATGTTAGCAACCGATGTTCTTGCTGGAATTCTACTTACCAACTAATGCACCTGCAGGTTGGTTCTATACAAGAGTGCAGCAAAAATGTACCAAAACATTCTGTATCCTATGGATACGTAGAATTTCAACACAGAGTATGGTATATCATTTGTGAATTGCATTCTTTGTCTCAGTTAAGTTTATGATAAACACATACCGTGTGTATATGCATCCCTTCGTCTTCCTCCCTTGGAGGGCCGGTTATTAAACATTCACCAGAGATCGCCATTGGGGTTACCCCTCACGCATTCTCCGTGTCCATCATGCCATCTGTGTACCCCTCACTCTGGGCCCAGGTGGTGGCCCTTCCACCACTTGCAGCTTTGCTGATTGCTGCGACAAGGGAAGAGGCCATCAAGGCTCTGTTGAGAAGTGACACGCACCGCCCTGCTCATACTCCACTGACACAGCCATGCCTGCTCTGTGTGACCAGAGAAGTACAAACCTATCAAGTGCCTGGAAGGAGGGAAGGGAGAACTGGATGGTAGTGATGAGCTTGTCTGCTGCACCCCACACGTCAACCAACGTTCCACTGCTGTATCCTGAGCATCTTGGAGACACTCAGTGAATACTTACTGGGCGAGTCTCGGAGGAGATGACCCTGAAGGAGGAAGGCTCTGGAAGTAAGCCCCCATGGATCATTAGAGAGAGGGTCATCATTTCATGATGTTTTTGTTGATCACTCCTTACCTTGCCATATACAGCTGGACTTTGGTGGTCCAGGAAATCACATAGATACACGTGGCTCTGGGTTCTTAAAACAGGCTCCAGGGCCAGTGAAGGGCCAACTCCTGGGAGCAAAGGTAGACACCACCCCAGAGGAGGACACCACCCCAGGCTGGGGCTAGAGACGAACATGTAGGACACAAAGGAAGGAGGTGCTCAGACCCGTGCAGGTGCAGGACTGGCCCTGAGATAGGGCCTCCTTACATCTTGCTCCCTACAAGTCTTACTCACCTGCCTCACCCTAGTGCTGGCCCTGGGACCTGCTCTGCTCCAGGGACTTCCAACTCCGAAGTCTAGTAGGTAATTCCAACTCTCTGCTCTTCCCAGCACAGCTGGACAGCAGCACAGGCAAGAGAATTCTGAGTTGGGTGAAGTTTTCTTCACTCTATCTCTCTCAGAGACTTTAGTAAACTCCAAGGGCTGAGCAGTATGGCAAAGACAGGAGGAGAGGAATCACGTATTCTGGAATAAGCCTCATGTGCCTGCCTCCCTGTTGAAACCTTGACGCTCCAGTTCAGATTGTTATTCCAACTGGGTTTGATGCTCTCACGCCCCCGGAGTGCCACCAGCACTACACTCTGCTTTTATATACATCGCTTCCCTCATTAGCCAGGGCCTCAGCTCTACGAGCTTGGAATCTGCTGTTTGTCAAAAGGGGAAACTGAGTCTTGGGGAGATTAAAGAACTCTTCCAAAGTGAACAAGGAAGTGGCAGAACCAGGACTTGAATGAAATCTTCTGATGGCTGGCCATTCTAAAATGAGGATTCCTCTATCAGCCTGAGGAACACCATCCTTCAGGCCACGTGAACTCAAGACACTGGGTTTAACAGACCTTGTTCACAAGGACAAAAAAAAAAAAAAAAAAGCCAAACCATTGGCATTTCCACAGTACGATTCATGTGGCATACTTGCACTGAATCGAAATAAAGCCCAGTTGGACCATCATCGTTTTTCTTTTCTTTCAATTTTTATTGAACACAAGTATTCTGACAGAATGCAAAGTCAAAATTCTCAGTTAGTACTCAGTATTTACACCAGTGAGAATGGAAACAAAGGTGGTATCGATGTTTCACTCGGTAAAAAGTTTATAACAAGAGAGAAGGCCCCCGAAGTACGGAATGCTGGGTAGGGATGTTCATGGAGGTCTGAAAACCACCATCCAGACAGACAGCCTCGAGTGACAGCCCGGGACGGAAGGGCTCCATAGAAAAGTGTGAAAATGGCCCCACTTCAGAAGCTGCACTACGTATACTACGGTCCCCCAGGACTCAGAGACCTGCATGTGGCACAGGGTGCGCCCCCTCCCGCAGAACGTGGCCATGCCGCTGGTTACGTGAATACATATGTATGGCGCATACACATATAGACACTTACACACTGCAAACTGGTAGAGTTGATCCCGCCTTCAAAACATTAAAAAAGGAAAACTATAAGCTTTTATCTCTTAACATAAAAGATAGAACATCTTGAAAATAAAGTGACTCTCTCTTTGATTTTAGAGAAAGCTTTGCTCTGTTTTTTTTTGTTTTGTTTTTGTTCTGTTTTGCTTTTTTTTTTTTAGTATTTTTTAAATTTTTTTTTTTTTTTAAAGAAAGGAAAGCTCATGCGTGCAGAGACAAATCTATGTATAATGAGAGAGGCAGACCAAAAGGTGGGCAGAGTCTTGGTGCCGGTTGATGGCGGAGCCAGTTCTGGGTGGGTGGTGGCGGCGGGGCGGGGGGATCAGCTGCCCTGGGCCGGGTTACTTGAGGGTCGGCTATACCTTTTCCTCTTCCAAACCATCAGAGCCCAGGTCGTTGCGTCTGGTCACAACCACTCGGCATGAGATGCACAGTCTCAGTGAGGGACAGTGTGGGCTTGGCTTGGGTAGTCAGTGCCACTGCCATCGGAAGATGAGCAGCTGAGTCCGTGGACAGCCCAGCAGTGGGAAGGGCCCCCCACGCCCTGCTGGGTCCTCCCGCCTCGGACACCCAGGAGCTCCTATTCTGCTGTGTGCTCTAAGAACTGTCTGCGCGTTCATTACTCGTGCCTGAGGGCCTGTGCATTTGAACCAGAGATTTGTGCAAAGGCCCGACAATCAAGGGGGCCAGAGCTGGGTACACTGGCTCCTCCATTTCCATCCCCAGGAGCTGAGAAAATGCAAAATAACCCCACATTTAGCAAATGACAAGACCATTATTTTTCACAGTTCGAAATTATAACCTTAGCGGATCACCACTGATCAGACTGCAGAAATGTCAGAACATGGGGGAGTGTGGCCCATGGAACGGACTCAGGGGCAGTCTTGCCACCCTAACCTCTCGCTGTTTTGTACCTTGGGACAGGAACGCATGCCGGAGGGCTGAATTGCTGTTTCCTTAGCATTATCAGCATCATCATCTTCGCTTTTATTTCATTTTCTTTGTTTAAAGGCTTTAATTCCTTTTAAGAGTTATTTTTGTTTCCTGAATATTTTTTTTCTGAACTATCTGCTATACCTTCCACAACCAAACTATGTTGAAATTTTATTTCAATACTATGACAAAAACACGTTTCACACTAAAATATTCACGCATCCACAGTGCACAAGCTTGCAGTTTCTAAAGTAGAATGATAAAAGAAAGCAAAATTTCTATACAAAGGGCTGGCTTTTCCCTTCTCCCCCCTCCCATCCCCCTTTAAGTTTCTGTATTTTTTCCCCCCACTTGGTTTCCAATCCAGGAAAGTTGTGTTTATGACTCCAGACAGCAGGTTGTTTTCTTTTTTTTTTTTCTCTCTCTTTTGTTTCTATAAATGCTGCCTAAGTGAACAGAAGGCCGATGTTACTTTACTTCAACAGATTTCCAAAAAAAGACACTAATTCCCTGAAGCACAAATGCTCTTCCGCTCAAATCTAGATTCTGGGCTCAAAAGGAAATTGTATGTATATATTTTATTTGGCTTTCTACAAAAAGGGGATGTTTGGGGTAAAAATGTGTGTTCACCAAGACCAGCCCCAACTATACAATCTTCTCTGCTTCATTCAACAAAGCCTAAGGAGTCCTTCAAAAGGAAGGACGTGGACGCCTGGGGGGGTGGGGGGCAGACCCTTTTCCACAGATACAAGCAGGTGGTGGCTAATCAGAAAGTGGTCTCTAACTCCCAAGGAAATACAAAAAGAACTGAGAACCAAACCCCCCGCCCCCCTCCCAAAAAAAAAACCAAAACCACTCCAGAACAAGATGGGTTTTCACCTGAGTTGCACACAGGCAAAAATTTCAAATCAGAAAGTGGAGGGGGTGTGTGTGGGGGGAAGAGCCACTGTAAACAATCGTATTTTGTAAAGTTGTCCCGTGCGAAAGCAAGCCTGTGATGACCCTGCCCACCTCCAGGCAGTGTTTGTAACTTAAAGGAAAAAAAAAAAAAAGGCAGCGGTTTTACATGGACATTTAAACACAACCAAAGTCAAACATTGTCAACTTGTAAACATTGGAAAACAAAGTTGGCAGAAAGGAAGAAAAAAAAGAATGAGAAAGAAAAGGAGAGAAAAAGAAATCAAAATATTGCAAACCGAGACCTCCCCCCCCAGAAGTTGCGATTTGGCATTCTTCCTACAAAACGGGAGTCTACGTGGGAATTGAATTCAGCTAGCAAGGGGGACACACTTTGCATACTGAACAAATACAAAGTGAACAGAAATTATAACTTATTTATGGGGCTTTACAGAGTTCAAACTCGACTCAAAGTATAAAAATAAACTTGGACTTTGTTCATTCGTTAGTCTTAGTGCCTGAAGTATTTCTCTGAAACTGGTCTGTGCCAATTGGGCAACGCCAAGTGCGATCTTCCTGAACCTAGATTTTTTTTTTTTTCTGAGCTTCCTAGATTCTTAATTTGGGGTCCTTTTGTTTGATTCTTAAATGGTTTCAGGGAACAGAGTGTCCTAGTTTGGCTGTGGGTTTAACCTTTTTGTCTCATTTTCTTACAAGTGAGTGCGCGCAGCAAAGGAACCCTTTCTATAAACCTATAAAAAGGAGATCCCATGTTTATCTGTTTAGTTTTTTTTTTTTAAAGGCAAAAGACACTAGAGGAATGAGATGTGTGTGTGTGCGTGTGTGTGCATGTGTGAGATATTGGGAATGCTCTGGTGAAGCTGTGGTGTCACTTTTTACTTTGATCTGCTCATTTCTTGTCACCCATCATGCTTTGCTCTCGTTCTCCTTTGTTTGTGTGGCGTCGTTGGGGACCGTCTTGACTTCGGCGGGCGCTGGCTTCGTTTCTGTCTCCTGGCACTCCGACTTTGCTTCTACTGGGCCCTTCCTGCAGAGAATTGGGAAAACAGCACTGAGACCACAGTCCGCAGTTGTCACCCTCCAGCCGGGCTAAGGCATACAGCAGTGGTCCCCATTCTTGGCTGCACACTGGAATCACCTGGGAGCTCTAAAAATCCCCAACACCTGAGCCAGGCCCCCAGGAATCCTGATTTAATTGGGCGGGGCACGATGACTTTTAAAAGCACCCAAGTGACTCTGAAACGGAGCCAAAGTGGAGAGCCGCTGAATCAGAGGAACGAGACCTTCCCTCCCCTCTGGCCCTCGTGCAATGCTGGGGCCCGGAGCCCAGTGCTTCCCTGGGGCGGCGGAAGGGGGCAGCAGACGCGGCCTGCTCCTCACCCTGACTGCCCGGGTGCAGTAGCAGACTGCCCAGGTCGGCATAAATGACGCATGCTGTGCTCGGTTCCCCAGCACCGAGTCCAGGGGTGCGGACTCGGACTCTGCGGACCACCTTGCTCATGCCTGTCCTCAGTGCAGCAGGCCCTGTGCTCTGTGGTTAGGGTGGGAAACGCTCTTTGCCACCAAGGTGGTGTCGCATGGCATGGGAGGCTAGGGTGGGCTGGCACACTACATGGGGACAGTCAGGGGGAGTCAGGGGGCTGCTGAGTGGGAAGGACTAGTGGATTCCTACTTCTTCAGATTCAGGGCTCGCAGGGAGGGTCCCATTTTGGCTCTTGGGGGCAGCACGACAGCTCGTCTGGGGGGCAGGGGCCTCTGTAAAAACCTAGGTCTGACTCTGCCTTATTCAGTCCCAGGAGTCAAAGTCTGGTCTAAGGGCGCACGTGCAGCGCCAGACCCCGGCTCCAGCTGCATCTTGGCATCACGGTTAAGACATCTGTAATCTTGGGGCGCCTGGGTAGCTCAGTGGGTTAAAGCCTCTGCCTTCAGCTCAGGTCATGATCCCAGGGTCCTGGGATTGAGCCCCACATCAGGCTCTCTGCTTAACAGGGAGTCTGCTTCCTCCTCTGTCTCTCTCTCTGCCTGCCTCTCTACCTACTTGTGATCTCTGTCATATAAATAAATAAAATCTTTAAAGAAAAAAAAAAGACATCTGTAATCTTAAGGACCTTCGCTTGAACTTGGAGACCCAACAGGCATTCGGTGCCTGTGAGCTCCGCGTCTTCCCAGACATTGCAGGTCAGGAGAAGCCCAAGTAGCCGGTGGTCCTGGGGGCGTTGTGGGCATCTGGGCTGGAGTAGGACAGGGCCTTTTGAACCATTCCCTCTCCCCACAGGGGCCTTGGGGCCTGTTCCTTTCCTTCCTGCGGAACAGTGCTGTTCTGGTGCCGACCCAGCCTAACCCTGGCTAACAGACTGTCTGGGGCCCCGGGGTGGCTGGTAAGGGCACCTTGGCCTCCTTAGCTCGCCTGCCAAGCTATGCTCATCAGTGGCCCAGTGGCAACCCCCCCTCCCCAGCTCCAGGGAAAACTGAAGCCTCTGCCAGCAGGATAAGGCTAAGACGTAATTAACGTGGCCTAGTTAGTGAGCAGGCGGCTGCTCGCTGGGCCCTGCTGCCTGCCCCGCTCTCTCTGCCTCATCCCAGCCCCTTGCCTGACAGTCGCCTCAGAGAAGCCCAGCATCAAGCTGAAGACACCTCTCACAAGCGGGACACAGCACAGCACAAACGCACACCACCACTGGACACAACCCGACCACAGCAGACAGAGAGAGGCCGTACTCGGGCTTTGCTGGTGCAGGTGGAACAGAGCTGTCGGCCGTGGAAGGAGCAAGCTCGGGGGCTTGTCCACTGGCCCCAGCGGCGGGAGCAGGAGAGCTCAGGGCTGCAAAAACATCCTTTGCAAGGTCAATATCTGGGGTCTTGAAGTTCCCTTCGTCCATTTTAAAGTCCTCGCCCTGGGCAGGGTTTGTGGCGCTGACGGAGGCAGCCTCGCTCTTCGGGCTAGTGGGGCCCGTGGCTGCCTCGGTCGGGCTCTTCGCAGCGCCGGGCTGGGTGGGCTCGGGATCCGGGCCTTTGGTGCTGGAAGCCTCCTGCTTGGCCTGGGGGCCTTCCGTGGCAGGGGCGGCCACTGCTGCTAGGGGACTGGCTGCCCCGGCCGTGGCGGGGCCTGGCACAGGGGCCGGCTTGCTCGCTGGAGGGGCCTTGGAGGCCTCCCCCACGCTGGCAGGGGCACTCGGGCTGAGCACTGCCCCCTGGTTAGCCAGGACACTAGAAGACAAATTGTTGGCAGCGGGGGCTGAGATCGGAGTGTCGCTCAGGTCAACGAGGGGGGCGACCTTGGGGGCTGAAGCGGGGGGTGGGGAGGAGGTGGCGACGCCAGGCCCCTTGGAAGGGGTGGCCTGGCCGGCGGGCACAGAGTTTGAGTCAGGTGTGGCTGTGGCCGGGGGGGCAATACTGGAGGTCAGGGTGGTGGTCTCACTGGTGGGGCTGTTCTGAGCAGTGGCAAAGGTTTCGGTGATAGTGTCAGAGTTAGCGGTGACGGTGGTGACAGAAGGCAGCATGTCCTCGACAGTGGCTGTGGTGTCGGCAGGCAGCCTGTGGGAGGACAGGAAGTAGAAGAGAATAGACGATGAAGCTCAGACGAGACAGAGAAGCAGGGGAGGGTCGCAGCCAAGAAGCGGGGCGCGGGCGGCCATGCGGGGACGCACAGGCGCGGACACAGGCCCACAGAGAAACGAGGATGGCGAGAGGAAGCACACGCCCAGGCGGGCAAAAGCAGACACAGGAAACACAGAGCACGTGGAGGTCTAAAGGGACCTGCTGGCCCTTCCTCCCTGCCGACGCCCCTCCAGCTCTCTGCGCTAGGCTGCCTTGTCCCACAGCCCTGTCAGGGCCTTTCCGAGCCCCGCCTGCAGCCCAACTCAGGAGGGACAGGCTTCGGTCTGGTGTCCATCGCTGCCGGTGTCCCCGGCCCCCCGAGGAACTGGGCCCCGGCAGTGACGGGCAAAGTCGGGAAGATGGCAATGAGTGCTCCAAACAGCCCCAAGGGGCCACGGGCTCCCCAGCCAGAGATTTTGTGCCGCCATTTAACTCCATTCCCTTCAAACCCATAGCCTCAGGACAGCCAGCGGTCCTCACCGGCTCGGCTGGGCATGGTTTCTGACGCAGGGCTCCCCAGGCCTCTGGGAACAGGAGGGCCGGGGAGCTTCATGGGTCCCCACCTGTTCTCACCCTTCTCGGAGGACACAGAAACCTCTAGAGTTCTTGAAAATCCTAAACAGAATCTGCTAAGCCTCTCAAAGCTCAGCCCCTCTCAATGAAGTTTTGCCCCCTTCGGCCATTTCCGGGATGTGTGTGTGATTCAGGGAGAGGGTCTAGAGGTCCCACTCATCCCAGGAGCCTGCAGAGCACCTATAGTCCCTTAACAGAACCCAGAATGCCTTCTCTCTAGGGAGAGAGGGGGGTCAGGCATTTCTGGCCAAGGGCTCCAGGATCTGGCCTGCTTGTTTGACTGGGAGTGGTGGGTGGGTGGGAGGTATGGGAGGTGTGGGTAGGGTGATGGGTGGGTGTAGGGCTCTGCTGACGAGGTCCGGCCCCTCCCCGCCCACATACTCGGGCTCTGTCAGCGGTGTGGTCTCGTTGGGCTCCGTGTGTTTCCCTCCGTCATGGTTTGGGGTCCGCTCCTCCTCGGTCCGCACCTCCACGATGGGCTCCTTGGACTCATCTTTCCTGTGGAGAGAGGGGCTGTTTCAATTCTGGGACACTGGGGCAGGGAGGGGGGTTCCTGGAGAAGACAGCTACAGCTCACGGCACCTGGGCCTGGCCCAAAGTTTGGGGGGGGGCAGGGACATCTCAAGCCAGGTCCAAGTGCCTGAGCCTCAGCTCCCACTTGCGTGAGCTGTGTGACCTTGAGCACCTGTCTTGCTCACACTTGCTTCCGTCTCATCTGTAAAATGGGGTAAATAAGTCTCTCCCTTGCCTAGCTGTCTCACGTTAACTGAGATCATGAATGTGAAGGGCTTAGCACGGTGCCTGGCACAGAGAAGTACTTGGATAGTCTGTCTTTACGTACAGAGCCTGACACGTGGTGGTGCTCATACTCACCACCCCCCGGCCCCCCCCCCCGGCTCTGTCCCTTCTCGCCGTGAGTCTGTGAAGGCTCCTGATAATTAGCTCAAGATCTCTCGCTCTAGAGATGCTGGAAGGGACAGCATCTGGAGCCTCAGCTTTGAAAGGAAAGGACGTTTTATCTGTTCGGTGCTTGGGTGTAACCTGGGGTCGGGGAATATCGCCTGGCCCGACAGTAGCTGCTCAGTAAGTGTTTGTGGGGAGATGTGTGAATGAACGACAGCAAGGCAAGTAGGTCTGTGAAGTGCTGTGGAAGTTCCCCTCCGGGTTCAGCGCTGAAAATTCCCCTCATTTTCATCCACGCGGGACTTTTCAGACTTCTCTGAAATTCTAATGTGTTGGCTGTGAGGCTGGGTCCAAGGGTTTGCTTTGCAAACAGGTACCCGCAAAGGCTGTGTCTGAGAAACAGTTCTCCAGTGATATGGCTCCATGGCTGGGCCCCCCCCACCACCCAGGGCAGAGCCCAGACCCCAGCAGCGGCAAGTGGGCTGCACTCACGAGAAGGCGGCTTTGCCCTCCTCCATGTCCTTGCCCTTGGCTCCGGGCCCCGCCTTTCCGCACAGGTTGACAGCGATGCACATGAGCAGGCCGCACTTGTTCAGGAAGTAGCAGGTGACGTCCACCGCCACCAGGAGCAGGACAAAGATGACAATGAGGATGCCCACGATGGCCCCAGTGCTCAGGCCTGATGTGGGGCTGCCGTTGGCTTGAGTGGGAGGGAGGGAGGGAGAGAGATGGTTGGTGATTAACACACCAGGCCGACTCTGCGCCCTGCAGAGCAACAGCCCCTGGGGGTCGGGGAGAGCCTATGGGGCAAAGTCAGGGCACTTGTGTCAAGAGGGGCACCGTCCCTGGGGCCCTTCTGTACCCCAGTGTTGAGACAACAGAGTCTCTTCATATCTTCGAGAGGGTGGGATGCCAGCCTTATGTCGGAGACCAGGGGACAGATGCATGAGGCACCCACAGGTCAGGATGGCAGTGGGAACTGGGAGCTGTGTCTCCATCCTTGTGCTCAGTCTCTGAGCCTCCCCCCAACCCATCCTTAGCTGATCTCCCCGTGAGCCCGGGCAGCAGGCAGACGGATGGTGGTCACTGGTTTCAGGCTGGACCGTGGCTCCCTGGGATCCTGGGGCAGGGTCCCAGCTGGAGCAGCGGGGGGTTCCCAGGGCTTCCTTAGGACTTGGGCTGACATCAGGTGCAATGGTATGCCCGAAATGCTATCCTGCTCCCTCTCCCCTTTAGGACCAGCTCCAGAGGATTCCAGCACTGGACAACAGACATGGTTTATCCTTCATTGCACCCAGGGAGCTGAATGAAGCCCATTTACTCTGGAGACGTGGAGTTCTGCCCAGCCCCGGTAAGCAAGGTGAAAGGTTTGGGTGTACTCACCTTCTGGGAGCCCAGGCACACTTGAACCAGGCTTCAGGAAACCCAGCAGACTCACCCAGAGATGCACGTCCACACGGACAGGCACACTCACACTCAGGGCAAGTACGCTTTGTGCCCATTACAGACAGACCCGCATTCTCACACCCGAGCAGCACCCAGCGCTCCCGTGCTGGCTGGGCTCACTCTGCATGACTCGGCCTGTGTCCTTCTGCCCCTGTGGTCCATCTATAAAGCCCCAGGGCCCCAGGGGACTGATGGTCTCACAGAAGGGCCCCTGGCTCAGCTCCCCACACCCCGTGTGATGGCTGTGAGTTGCCTGAGGCGGCCCTCTGACTGGTGAGTCCCCCAGTGTCTGGGAGACACATGCTCAAGCTCCGGGAAGCTGGAACCCAGCAGGGCTCTGCCCATAAGCCAGTGTGGAGACCACGGAGACTCCTGTGCAGACATGAGCACATCTGCTTCCTTCTGGAAGGACCGAGTTACAGAACTGGCAGCCTCCTGGTGTACCCCACCCCCGACCTGGTCTGAGGCTTCCTGTGCCGCCAGGATCCCCTGGGATCACCCACGTCTGCCCACTAGAGGCAGGAACTGTGGCCAACACCATTGGGTCTCACTGTGCCTTTGCTGCACACCAGGCCAGGCCCACCGGTCTGCCAGCCACATATCACACCAGATAATGGAGGGACGTGTAGTCCAAGGTGACAGGTGCAACAACAGGCCAAGTTCTTCTTTTTCTGTGCAGTCTGTGTTCCTGGGGGCACTCCTCGGTCTGCCCTGGGGTCCCTGCTCAGGCCGCCTGGGGCTTCTTCAGCAGTGGTCCTACACCACTGGTCTTTGCCTCAAAGTTTAATTCAGGGTATGAACCACCAGCCCAGCAAGGCAGAGATGACTGCTCACTCACAGCTTAATTCTTAACTGCCCATGGCACAGATGGGCCCTAGATGGAGAAGATTCTCAAATTCTTGAATAGTTATGGCTTCTTTGGGACCTTGGCCTTGCTTCCCAGCCTCTCCTCCTTGGGCTTGCTGGCTGGTCTCATCCAACCCATATTTAAAACCCCAGCCTATCCCCAGGAAGGCATCGGGATGGGCCAGGGGCTCTGTGCTCAGAGGACCCAGCTCTGGCCACGCTGTCCCCAGACTTCGGCAGCAGGAAATGGCTGGCCAGCCCCTGAGGTCCGCTAGAGTGGGTCTTCTCCCTAGCAGCTCAGAAAAGCTAAATAAAGCATTTTGTTCTCTCGCAGGTCCTCACACATTCCACCCTAATGAGCAAAGAGAAGCAGGCAAGCCTTCCTGATCTTCGGAGTCCCAAAGCCGCTTCCCTAAACTGGGAGGGAATATCAGCCTTGGGCTTTATCTCTAGCCCATGACACTGGGCCGAAGTCACTGCTGCCTCCTGGCATCAGTGCCCCGTAGGTGCTGAGAGCTTGTTCCCGAAGAAGGAGCCTGAAGTATTTGTGTGAGGTGAATGTTTGTGTTTTCAGACTCAGTGGTACGAACTGTTCGTTCGGAGGTGTATGCATAAGTATGGTCTGAGGGGACGCATCCTAGCTCCAAAGAGGATGACAGACCATTGCCAGGTGGCTCCGTGTTTGTGAGAGGCAGCGGTTGTCCAGCTGAAGCTCTGGGCTCGTCAGACCCAGAGGGAGGACTTCCTTGGCTCTGAAGGCCAGCATCACGTGCATGCACAGGGGAAGGGCAGAGGGTACAAGGACCCCTGTGACAAGACAGAACGAAGGGAAATGGTCTTCCCTTCTTCTGGAGGTAAGATTCAGACTCTTCCTCTTGGCCTAAAGGCCCTACATGCTTATAGACTCTCCCACTCTTCTGACTGTTCACTCTTGGCACCAGCCCGAGCCTTCACGCTACCTGCTGAACACACCCAGCCCATTCCTGCCTTCAGACTTTGCTGACCCCCTGCCTGCCACACTCCAGCCCCATAACCTCCTGGGAGGCTCTTTGCCATCCTACAGGCCTCGGCTCAGACGTCACCTCGTCAGAGAGCCCTCTCCCTCCATCCCCTGATCTCTTATCTAGTGACTGACCTCTGCCCACTATCTACCACACTACCTGTTTCCTCTTTTTGCCTCTGCCATTTTCTGTTCATTTACATGCTTTTCATTTGGCTATTCCTTCTGGAAGGTTCTACTGTCATATGTCTTATGACTGTGTCTTATGTCTCCCCAGCATCTAGGACAACCTGACTGACAGGAGATGTTCAAAGAATATTTGTCAAAAAAAAGAGTGGCTGTTGAGCCTGGAGATGAGCGCGCCACCTCCAGAGACTTACAGGTGGGCTGTGAAATGGAAGAAGTCTTGTTCACTATTACTCCTGGATGACAGCTCTAGGATCCGGGGTAGATTTCAGCTCCCCTCAAGAAAGGACTAAGAGAGTGTGAGCTGCCTGGGGAGTTAGGCCCACTGTGGCTGGAGGCACCGAGCAGAGGCTGGACGACCGCCCTGGGCAGGGATACTGTAATGTTCTGGAAGAGGTCCCCGTGCGGGGCAGGGCTTGGTGTGACAGCATCTCCACGTCCTCTTCAACCACAAGAGCCTGGGTCCCATGTCGCCATCCAGCAGCACCCCAAGCACCATCCAGATCCCCTTCACTGTGTACTGAGAAGGACTTCTCCTTGGAAGACTAGCACACTCAGGAGGGCCTGTTTTTATTCACAGATTCTTGTGATTTTATTTTTATATGGAAAATAGATACTTTTTAGCATAATGTCTGTCTGCCTGCAGCAGGATTCCTGGGGTACTGAAATTTAGACTCTGGGGCTCCCCAGTTCTACCCAGTCAGAATCTCTGGGTGGGGCTCGGGAATCAGGATTTGGAGGAGCGGCCCCGGGTGACCCTCGCACAAGTAGAGTTTGAGGGTTGCTGTTTCCGGGTCCTCTCACGCCTGCCCTACAATGAGCAACAGCTGTTCCCATGACTCACCGCCCGAGGAGGAGCTGTGGAGTCTCGCTGTGTGCCCTTGACCTAGCATACTGGATGGACAGAGAGAAAGCAAAGACGGCCCCGATGGAAAAAGGACCACCCTGTTCACCACTAAGAGTCTTGACTTCCAGATGGAGTAAGGTGCTCCTCAAGCTAGAGAAAGTGTGCGTAGCTTTTGCAAAAAAAAAAAAAAAAAGCTGAAAATAAGGGAAATACCAGGAAACGGATAAACGTGTATTGAAGACAAGCCAACACCCACTGGCTCTTGGAGGATGATACAAGACTGTAGGCCAGGAGAGCTGGAAGAACGGAGGGTATCCCCGTACCTCAGGTAAGAGTTTATAGAAGGGAAATGTAAAACCCTTCCAGTGGGTCTATGTTTGCCTGACCGTGCCACTGGCCGGCCTTGCGTGGCTCACCCACACACCCGCATGCAACGAGAGTTTCTTGGGAGCAGCTCCTCCATAACCTCCAGGGTCAGAGCCACCCCAGTGGTGATGGACGTGGGGCGGGGGGGGGCTGTCCCTCCTCTGTGGTTCCTGGCCTGGGAGAGGCTGACCCTAAACAGGGAGTTTACTGCCCCACGACAGAGACCGACATCATACGTCTTTCTTAAACCCTCAGACTGGGAATCCGGGTCTCACATTTACAGACACCAGACGGGCCCGAGTCACTGTTAGGAGCTCTCCGTGCAGCAGAGGGGTCCCTCCCACTGCGCTGGGGCTCCGGTTCACTTGTAACCCCATACATGTCTGCTTGCTCCTTCCCAGAACCTACTGTTAAACAGACGGCCAGTCTCAAGGGCTTCCGGTAAGTGTCCTTATACTGTGATTATAAACATAATAGGATTTGCCAATGAGAGACTTCTCTCACATTCTATCACAAGGTCACTCTGTGCAGCCCCTACTATGGGCTTCTAATGGGAGCCGTGAAATCAGGAGCCCAAGCTACCGACTGGTGGCCTACACCATCTGGTGGCCCACAGGGTGTCCCTGACCCCGGAGTGACCACCTCCTGGTTCTGCGAAGGGACTGCCCCCTCCCCCTGCTGCCAGGGACCAGGAACGCCCAAGGAGGCAGTAACTCCTGAGGGCTCTCAGGGCAGCCGAGCAAAATGCATAGCTCCTCATCAGAAAAGGAAGGCATTTCCTTTGCTAGAACTCCAAGCAGCAGGCTCCAAGTTCGGGGTCCAATTTGGGGTAATCAGAGCTATTCAGGTACACATGAGGTGAAAGGAAAGGGCTTTTGACATTTTGTAGGACACACAACTATTCAATAAACTCAAAGCACGCTGGTGAGTTCACACGGACTGTTACTTCCTTTAATAACGCAAAGGTGTAAACTTCATCAAGGCCTCGCTGATTATCTACACAACAGTGTTAGCATTCTTATTAGTAACAAATGTGATCCAAACCTGCCGTATAAATATTTCAGAAGTGAGCAAAGGAACCCCGCAGCGTGCGGAGTGTGGCAGCGCTGGACAGGGCACAGCAGTGGGGGCAGCTGAGCGAGGTGGTAAGTGCTTCCCCCCCCCAGTCCAACCCCGGGGACTCAAAGGGCTGCTACCTTGGGGACTGCTCGAGGGGCAAGGGGCTGCAGCCGCCACTGAGAACAGTGTCCAATGGGAGTGGGTGTGCCCTAACGAGGTCTCTCAAAAGCCATCCCGTTACAGACCAGGGGCCTGCCTGCATTGACCCCAAAGTAGCTTCGGCTGAGGTCCCGCCTCGCCCGGGGTGTGTGTGGGGTGGGACAGGGCTGTGTCAGGCTTCCCTATACTTTGGCTAGATCTCCAAAGAGTCCCTCCGGAAACATGACACTGGCCCTCCCCTGTGGGTGGGACCAGGATCAGGCTCGGGTAGACCCCCCACCGATGGGCCCTCCTGGGTGAACACGGGACTTGTGCCCCACATGCTATCAAGAGCATGCCAGGAGCTGGGAGGACAGTGATGGGCTACTTGTGTGAGGACAGATCTCTCCTTCCCTCACCCTCCCCAGAGCTCTCGGTAACTGACCTGGGATTCTTACGCCAGGCCCGGAAGCACCACGTGTCTCTCCTCGATGCTCCGCCTTGTGCCTAAGAACCACGCCTGCTTCTCTTGTGCTGGTATGAAGGCAGGGCAGGGACCCCAGGGGCAGAGGTTTGAGGTGGGGCTGGGGAGGCAGACAGGGCTCGGGCAGGAGGCACTACCTGCCTGAGCTACTGGGCAAAGTGCGGCCTCCGGTGTCTATACATGAGCCTCTAAATGGTGAGTGCTGGGGGACATGAGCCCGTGCCAAGTGACACGGGCAGCACTGCCCTGCAGACGGGATCACTGGGATTCCCAAAGGGAAAGACTAGTCTTCAAACGTTAATTTAAACAAAAACAAAAACAACACAACAAACAGAACTAAAAAATAAACAGAACAAAAATTAAACTTCCATGGGATGTTTAGAGATGAGATATGTAGAATGATGTGACCACAATGGAGGGAGGGCGGTTTTATCCACTACAAGGTCCATCCCCAAGCACGCACAGGTGTTACTGAGCAGGAGCCTGCTGTCTCCGTGTGACTCTGCGAGCACACTGTGCCTCCTTCCGACAGCAGAGAGCACTAGCTGGTGGTCACCAGAATTTTTTAAAGGTCACTAAAGCCACTGACCACCACAGGGGGTTGGGGCATTTGGGAAGTAGGACAGGCTGGCCCAGTCGCAGCGTGTAGACGCTCTGGACTGGGCAGTCCAGGAGTGACCTGTCCCCCGCGGCCTGCTCTGGTGAGTGTGCCGGGGTGGGGACCGCGTGAGCCACGCCTGGCTTGCTGTGGATACTTCCAACTTGGGGACTGGAGCGTAGGCGAGACTGTCGGACCACAACCCCCGAGACGCAAGGCTCTGTGCAGCTCGAATCACTCCGGCTGGGGGGACACCCGTCCTACACAGCTGATGGGCACTAGGGGCGTCATAGGCTGGCCCTGTGGGCAGCACCAGCATAGGCTGCTGGTTGTGATACCAGGGCCAGAGCGCCTCCCAGAAAATGCCTAACAAATCCCGTTTCTTCCACTGGATGGGCAACGTGGTGGCTCTGCCCATCATGTCAGCAAAATGCCTGGGCGCGTCCCAGGAGTCTGGCTCTCTTACCACAGGCGCTTCAAGGCAAGCGAAGCCAGCTGTTTTCGGAAGGGCAGGGGAGGAGCACGTGGTCATCCCAACAATCTGATGCAAGCTTTAGGGGTACTTAGACATTTTCCTCTGCTACATCATTTTCAGGTAAGAACAAAAAAAATGCAACGGGTAGCAGATGCGCAGAAATGTCTCTGTAAACCTAGCATAATTTTTTTTTTTTTTTTAAACCATGTAAAGAAAAGCACTCCCGCATGTTTTCGTATTCTGCCATTGGAAAGGGGCAAACATCCTCGTGAAGCAGCACAGAGGATCTGTGAATGGTAAATTGTCTGCACGTCCAGCTTTTTCCAGTCCCCAAACCTTCCTCTTCCACACAGAGTGCTTGGTGGCGTGGCCGTGGCGGTCCTGACAGGTTCTTCCAAAGGGGGCACTGATCATTCTCAGAGGAACTGGGCATTTAAGCAAACTTAATTTGCGTGTGTGTGTGCGTGCGTGTGTGTTCAAGTTCCTAACAGAGCAAAAGCAGAGTCACTGCGGAGAGAAGCAACGAGACAAAGGTGTAGGACGCAGAGCAGCTGCCCAAGGTCGCTGCAGGTCCAAGCCGTGGGTGCCCAGAGAGAATGTGGTTGTTTAAGAACAAATGTGGCAGTGGGGATGTCCCAGGGATGGACGTCCAAGGTGAGATGTGTGACGACAGACACAGGAAGGGGAGGGGGGAGAAGGAAAGAGAAGGTAGAGACAGAAACAGAGAAAAAAAAATAGATAAAAAGAAAAAAAATTAGGTCAAATATAGAAAACGCAAGAATCAAAGGTTAATTCAACTTAGTAAATTAAACTGACAAAGGTTAGAGAAGAGCTCAGTATGGTATTACTCCCGTAAGGCCAGTTCCGAAGCTCAGCAAGGCCAGAAGCAGCACAGCGGGGCGAATTTGGGGGTTAGGGGTCAGCGAGCAAATGAAATTCAAGTGAGAGAACAGAGCCTCTGCAGTCAAATCCAGGAGTGTGATTAGGAGAGTGTTACCTTTGACTAAGGTCAGGCCTCTTAGGAACAGTCAACGAGCCTGTCCACAGCCTGCTAGCCTCTAGCTTTCTGCGTGTGGTAGGAGAGATGCGCCATAAGCATCTCAGTGAGAGGTCGGACTCCTCCTCCACCTTCTCCTCCTCGGGTGCCACGCCCCGCCTCCCCCCCACACTGTTCAAGACGAACTAGTCTGCACGCCTCACCTCCTGCCACCCTGCTGACCGCCGGTACCACCACAAATGCACAGCTTAAAATTCGCAGGTTTTGTCCACAGGTCCCAACACCATGGCCAGGAAAGTCCAAGCAAGCACAGAACTACCTCCTCCTAAGACAGCACACAGCAGAGCCACCGAGCCCTTGCAGATGAGGTGAGCCATCCCTCCAGCGCTCTCTGGCTTCCTTGGGCACCTGGGAGCTTACCAAGAAGGACCCGGGGGGCCAAGGTCTTCTGTTTCTGTATCTGACTCACAGGGTCCCCAACTGCTCCGGCCCCACAGGCTGATGCCAGGGGCAGCCCTCAGCACGGGAACGCAGCGCAACCCAGCCACCTGCCTATGTTGCCTAGGTCGGGCCGCAGGTGCCGTCGGAAAGCTCTCTCGCTGCGAAGGGCTGACTCCAACCTGTCACTCCCCCAACTCCTAAGCGTCCCATAAAGGCTGAGCAGAGACGGACACACTCCAGACTATCGAGTTCAATGAAAAACGGACCAAAGAGCACTAAGAAAGAAGGGGCACAGGATGGTAGGGCCACCTCTGGACATGGGCTGAGCAGGAGTGAGAACACCTCTTGCAGCCATGCCCAGTGCCTTTACCGCTGCCCGTTGGCACTAAGGGTTGCCTGCCTGACAATGCGGAGGGTAGGACCGATCAGCGTCTCGCCTGCCAGCTCCCTGGAGGCCCCCGCATGTCACACACATTCATGCACACTCAACCGTCGCAAACCACACTGGTCTTACTTTGCCATCTCCTTAACCCACTCATGCACACGCAGACCCACGTCCTAGGCGGCCACAGCCTTTCTCTCTTTCTCCCGCTGGGAGGCGCTATTGTGACTGAGCAGAGCCCCCAGGCAAGCATCAGAGACAGGACAGGCATGAGGGGGCCACACTAAGGCAGCTGGGAGACTGGGACATCTTCCTACCATGCTTGAACACGCAGAGAGTTTACGGGGCTCCCTTCCAACAGGCTGCACTATATGGTCGATGTCCCCCTCTCCTGCCTGTGGCTGGCGCTTGGCTGATCTGGAGAAGCAGAGCGGTGTTGAAGACTGCCTTCTGCTCTGAAGTCTGGTCAATGCGGAGACTAACCATCAGCGGCAAGGGGGCTGGGCCAGCGGGCAGGACTCTCACTTTGTTCCCACACTTGAGTCGGTCCTGGATCCCTAGAGACAGGTGTGTGTCTCCTAGGAGAACGACTCCCGTCATGGTCTCCAGCGGATGCCTTTCACAGATGGCGTTTGCCAACACCTTTCTCCACTTGCTCTATTTCAAGCGATTCAATTTAATCTTTGTTGCCGTGGAGAGGCCCTCAGAAAATGGGATTTTTAACTAACTGGGCACCATCTCTTCCTTCTCTTGGGGTCCCCACAGAGAAGAGAACTGGACCATGATTGTGCGGTAAGCAAGCATCCAAAAGAAAGCGCTTAAAAACAATTAGGGGGTCCTTGTATGGAATGGCAGAGGGTAGACAAGGTCTCAAAAAAGGTCCTTACTCAACCAGCTGCCAGGGCTTGGCTGGAGCTGGGTGGTTCCCAGCTGAGGAGTCCCGCGGGCCGGCTTAGCCTCCGTCCTCCAGGGCTGAATGACATAGGACCGTTGCCCCAGGATGCTTGGCCAAGCCTTCCCGGGGGGCCAGTACATCTCAGCCCACTGCACAGACAGGTACAAAGCACAACGAAGCTTTGCACGGGCGACCGGTCATGAGGACGGCCAACAGCAAGCCAGTCGTCAGGGCCGTTCAGGCGCGTTAGGAGGTGCAGCATTGTGCGTTAATTCCAAGCGGGAAACTCACAGAAAAGCAGAGGCCGTCATACCTGGGATGGCCGTGGGCTGGGCCGAGGTCCTGAACACAAAGTGAGCCGCCTTGGACTTCCCCTGCTGGTTCTCAGCCACCACGTAGACCTCATACTCCGCATTCCATTCCAGGGACTTGAGCATGACGTGGTCACTGCCAGACGGGAGTCGGATCTCTGGTTTCCACTCGGAGGAGAGCTTCTGGGCGAAACCGGCAGGAAGGACACAAGACACCAGGACAGTTTAGATGAAAATGCTGGTGAGACCCACTCACGGGAAGAGCTTCAGGGAGTCACTACTATCAGTACAAAATAATGCAAATAAAAACCGATGAGAAGACAGGGTGATCGTTCTTTACCAGCCTGAAAACCCCTAAGGACGATGAAGGTCAGGAGGTCAACCTCGCATTTTGTAAGCACAGCGGCTGATGGCGGGTGCCATAGGGCAACCCTCCAGTGTCTTGTCCCATTGCCATCCAGGGCACCCAGGGACTCAAGAACATTCTGGAAGGCGTGGCACATGGACGCCCCAGAAGAGCCATGCAACGAATATGCTTCTTGTCCTGTTTCAGGATGTTGCTCCCACTCAGCTGTGTGACTCACCTTCCCACACAGGAACGTGGCATAGGTTCATTTTGTTAAAAATAAAAACTACCATTTGTTGAACACCTACTATGTGCCTGGCCCCATGATTTCTAGGCTTTCCACTATTTTCTCATTGTATCCCAGCCTGTGAAGGGTTTTGTTGGGCTGCACGTTTGCTTGGCCAGGGTCACCAGTGGCTCAATTCTAATTTAAAAAACTTAAAAGAAATTCAGTTTTCTACATCTTCTCTCTCAATAGCTTCATTCCTTGGCAAACTCTATAAAAGAGGCAACCAGAATATAAAGCAAATATTATGTTACACAAAAATACTAGTAACATATAACAACAAGACTTAGCAAACACTGAGTGTTTGAAGTAGAAGACAGGTAAGGCTGTGGAAATCTCACATAGCTCAGTGTCCTGTCCCCACCAATTTTTAAAGGCAGACCTGCCAGGCACAGCCACAGTGGCTTCTGGAAAACTGACATCTCTGGGGGCCTCATCTGGGAGGTGTCTCCAGCCCCGGCCAACCGCTTAGCAGATATTATTGTATTACGGGACAGGGGACAGGGGGTTCCATGTGTTGGTCACGTTTCAGGTGCTTTGCTTATATTATAACTGATGTTTATAATAACTTGATAAGCTCTTTAATTTCGTTACGTTACGTTACGGATGGAGAAATGGAGGTTTTTGGAAGTCTGGGTGACCTACTGGGAAGTGGTAAAGCCGAAATTGGATCCCACGTCTGGCTGGGCCACATCGGCCTAACAGGGGCCAGAGACAGCCCACCTGACCACACTGTCCACTTCCCATGGGCGGTGCTGGGCCACTGCTCAAACCTGATCCTGTTCCACAGTGAGGAAGCCACAGGGACCTCTCAGGTTGGCCTCAGGGATGTCCACAGAGGCTCCTCCTCTGATGTCCTCCTCCTGCCTGGCTTTGCAATCAACTGGGGAAGGGCTGAGTGGAATGACAGGTCCGCCTGCCGGCTGGGAAGTGTGCCTGGTGGCGCTCTGCTGTAGTGACTCTCCATTAAGCCTAACCAGGCAAGGGCTCCCCCATCCCTTCAGTGGCAGCTGATCAAAAGAGAAGGAGTAAGTCAGCTTCCTTGAAAAATCCTTTCTTTCTGTTCCAGGAAAGCACACTGCTCTCTGGTTCATTATTTCCTAGGTAAGAAATCCTTACTAGGTAAGGTAAGTCCTTGCTAGGTAAGAAGTCCTAGCAAGAGGCTATTCCCAGTGCTCAGACACTGCCTCTAGACCTCTCAGCAACTGAGAGTGCTCGCAGTGGCCCAGGGTCATTCTAAAACCTAAGAAAGTGGGAGGGATTCTCATTTTTGGGGCCTGGAGGTGCAAAGTAGGATGACATCTTAGATCTTAGATGGTGAGTAAACCAGGAAGAAAGGGTTCAGGGCCAAGTTCACTGTGAGCAAGATTAGACCAGCTCAGGGAGGATCTGAGGGGCAGGTGAGAACGACTGTGGTGTGGGATGGTAAGGCAGCCTAAGGCAAGGGTGGAGAGCCCAGTGTCTTCAGACAGACCCGGATTCAGACTCTGCTCACCCAGCTGTGAGAGATCACATGAGTACGTTACTTCCTCGGTAAAGGGCAGATAATCCTAAGGCCAACTTCACAGGGTTCTCATGGGGAGACAATGCACATGATCGCAGTGCGCAGCCCATGATACACACTTTATCAAATGTACTGTTTATGAGATACCAGTATATTATTTGCAAAAAGTACCAGGTAATGGCAAAATCACTTTGTAGAAATGTTCAAGCAGCAGAGAAATCAATCGTGGTAGGAGTCTGTCACCACCTCGGTCAATTTAGAGGTTTCAAAATCAGAAGAATAAACATTGTTAAAATGTCTGTACTGCCTAGAGCCATCAATACTTTGAATGCCATCCCAATCAAAATTCTACCAGCATTTTGCAAAGAGCTGCAACAAACAATCCTAAAATTTGTGTGGAACCAGAAGAGACCCCAAATTGCTAAGGAAATGTTGAAAAAGAAAAACAAAACTGGGGGCATCACATTGCCTGATTTCAAGCTTTACTACAAAACTGTGAACACCAAGACAGCATGGTACTGGCACAAAAACAGACACATAGACCAGTGAACAGAGTAGAGGGCCCAGATATGTACTCTCAACTCTATGATCAACTAATCTTTGACAAAGCAGGAAAAAATATACAGGGGATAAAAGTCTCTTCAATAAATGGTGCTGGGAAAGTTCGACAGCTATATGCAAAAGGAATGAAACTTGACCATTCTCTTACACCATACACGTGGGTAAACGAAATGGATGAAAGACCTCAACGTGAGGCAGGAATCTATCAAAATTCTAGAGGAGAACATAGGCAGTAACATCTTCAACATCGGCCACAGCAACTTCTTTCAAGACATGTCTCCGAAGGCAAAGGAAACAAAAACGAAAATGAACTTTTGGGGCTTCATCAAGATCAAAAGCTTCTGCACAGCAAAGGAAACAGCAAAACAAAGAGGCAACCCACGGAATGGGAGGAGATATTTGCAAATGACACTACAGACAAAGGGCTGGTATCCAAGATCTGTAAAGAACTCCTCAAACTCAACACTCAAAAACAGATAATCACCTCAAAAAATGGGCAGAAGACATGAACAGACACTTCTCCATGAAGACATACAAATGGCTAAGAGACACATGAAAAAATGTTCATCATCACTAGCCATCAGGGAGATTCAAATCAAAACCACATTGAGATACCACCTGACACCAGTTAGAACGGCCAAAATTAACAAGACAGTAAACAACAAGTGTTAGGATGTGGAGAAAGGGGGAACCCTCTTATACTGTTGGTGGGAATGCAAGTTGGTGCAGCCACTCTGTAAAACATTGTGGAGATTCCTTAAGAAATTAAAAATAGAACTACCCTATGACCCTGCAATTGCACTACTGAGTATTTACCCCAAAGATACAGATGTAGTGAAAAGAAGGGCCACCTGTACCCCAATGTTCATAGCAGCAATGGCCACAATCGCCAAACTGGAAAGAACCAAGATGCCCTTCAATGGATGAATGGATAAAGAAGATGTGGTCCATATATACAGTGGAGTATTATGCCTCCATGAGAAAGGATGAATACCCAACTTTTATATCAACATGGATGGGACTGGAGGAGATTATGCTGAGTGAAATAAATCAAGCAGAGAGAGTCAATTATCATGTGGTTTCACTTATTTGTGGAGCATAAGGAATAACAAGGAGGTCATTGGATGAAGGAGAGAAGTGAGTTGGGGGAAGTCGGAGGGGGAGACGAAGCATGAGAGACTGTGGACTTTGAGAAACAAACTGAGGGTTTTGGAGGGGCGAGAGGTGGGAGATTGGGTGAGCCTGGTAGTGGGTATTAAGGAGGGCACGGATTGCACAGAGCACTGGATGTGATCCATAAACAATCTTGGAACACTGAAAAAAATAAAATTAAAAAAAAAAAAAAAAAAAGGTCCCAGTGTGGACATGGCCTGATGGCTGTAGGTCAAGCTTGGGATTTAAAACCCTGACCAGGGCTCTTGAGCCTTCTGCAAGATGCAGAACGATTCTGCCCCACCTGGGCTTTGCATGTTGTTACCCCAACAAGGTGGATGTTAGGGTTGCGGACGGGGTGAAGATGGGGCAGGAGCCACGGAGCCACTCACCGCTCGGTACTTGACCAGGTAGTGCCTGATGGGGGAGCCACCGTCATCCTGCTTGATCAGGTTCACCTTAATGGAGTTTCCGTCCTCTCCCATCTGCCCTTCGAGCTTAGGTGCGCTGGGTTCACCTGAAACAGCCAGTTAAGTCATGTGACATTTTCGCCCACAAAGGAAAATCGAATCCATCAGCATGGGGTGTAGTGATGGGGTGGGGCTGGGTTTTTTTTTTTTTTTCTTTCTTGCTTTCTCAGAAATTCAAATGGTTAAAAAGCAATAAATATAAAACTTCGGGTTCCAGTTAAATGCGTCAGACTCAGCCCCAAACTGGGAGCGCTTTTTGGGAATGTTCTGGGAGACCCTGCCTGATAGCACAGTCCTTTTACCATTTTAGAAACAGGATTTTTTTTTTTTTTTAAATGTCTCTTCCTAGTGCTTGCATTTCCTTTTTGCCTGCTCTTACAACTGCAGATTTAACTTTGATGAGCCTGATACATTTTGAAGAACGGCCTGAAATACAGGAAAATGTGTATAAGCGTTTAAGGAGAAAACTTAAACCCAGAAAATAATTCTTCAAAACAGCCAGTCACTTCCCTGGATACATGATTCAACCTGGGGGTCCAGGGGACCCACATCTCTAGCAGGGGTGGAACAACGCTGCATGCTTGTGACCTGCTTTCTATGAATTAAATTCTATTACTTAGACTCATTTAAAAACATGACAGGTTTCCAGTTGTGCTTAAATAAAGCCCAAGCTGCCAGGAGCAAGTCTCCTATAAGCATCCTGCATTCAGGGCTCAGCTGCCTGAGTGATAATCCTTGGTACCTTGTTTAAAGTGACAATCATTTAAGTCTTTTGTTTGTGAAAAGAGAGGAAACAAACGTCTTTAGGGTTCCTCAAGAGAAAAGAGTCGAGGTCTCTATTTGCAGTACACACTCGGCTTGTGAGTCCAAGGTAGAGAAGGAAGACGGGCTCGTACGAGACAAATTACAAGGGCTGGGATGGTTCTTCTGTAAGACACTGACTTACGTTAAGACAAGCTACATCATTAGTGGATACTAGAAGCAAGGAGGTGCGAGAAGGTCTGGTAGGAGTCCCAGTGAAGATTTAATGCACTTGGGATCATGCATTTCCTATGAGGACATAACTCTATGTCTAGTTCATGGCCTCTGACAGAAACTGGGGAGAGTCTATCCAATAATCACCCTCGGGTAGGTTGTCTTGGCTTGTCTGTTGGAGGATAGGATCACAGACAAGTGACCAAAAACCCAGAAGGGTCTGTCACTAAGCTTCGGACCTCATCATTCCAAAGTGTACCATTGGCCATTTGTGACAAGGCTGCCGGCAAAGCCATTCAGCCCATCCTCCTCATTCAGCTACTTCGGGAACCTCACGATGGCTGCTCATCCCGCCCCTCCCTTTAAGACAAGAAGGAACCAGAGAGGTAGCACTAATGGACAGCCCTTGCTACTCGGCCTGGGCCTGTAGCACGCACACCACCCAGAGCTCATCAGAAATGCAGATTCCATTTTAACAAGATCCCAGGGCGATCTGTGTGCACACTTAGGCCTGAGAAGCCATGGTGATGGGGACACGTGGGAGTGCGTGATGGGAGGGTGCCTCATCTTAATGTCTGAGGGAGAAAGGATTTAGGAAAAACTGTGCTTGTGGCTTGTTTTCCTCAATTGGTGATGAAGGAAAAAGAAAACCAAGAATTAAAGATAAAAACAAAGTTTTAGGCAAAGACATGTCCTGTTTTTGTGCCACTCCCTAGCCACTGGCCTCAACTCTTCAGTGGAGGACATTTAAGAATTTGGTTTAGATAATGTCAAGGGGGGCACACTTTCCAAATTCGTTTGGACTAAGTCTCAGAAGTTTAGTAGTGGCTTATATCGTTATGAATATCCAGTGTATGAAGAAACTCAAACCCCGTGGAGGCTACGTCAGAACAGGGCAAGTCTGTGGAGAGTCACCCGTGCTGAACAAATGGAATCCATGAGGCCCAATGGAACTTTCCAATCCTAATCTCTGAAGCAGGGTGACCAACTCATCCTGGCTGGCCCGGGCAAGTCCTGCACGGAACAACACTCAGTCCCAGGCACACGGGGATGGTTCGTGGCCCAAAGAGGGATGGGCACGAATGACGACTTCCATATTTGGAATTGCGACACTGACTCGGTGGTGATCTATCTGCCTTAAGAAGGAGGGAAGGAGGTGGCATCGCGGCCCTTCCAACACACTCACCTGGCAAGGACCCAGTCCTTCCCCCAAGGCCTTTGCTTTGGGGGGAGTATCTACTTAGAAGAGGTGCTCCCTTTCATGTTTGTGGGGGTCCCTGTAAAACTAATCGCTTAGGCCTCTGCCTCACTATCCGCAGATGCAGACTAGGGGCCCTGGGCTGGGTGTCCTCCAGGGCCCTCTCTCCCTCTGCCAGCGCTGTGACCTGAAGTCAGCCACTGCCTTAGGATAAACTATCCAAGAACACCTTGGTCATTTTCACAACACTGTGAAAGAGACTCAAAATAAGGATGTCCTGCCAATTTCAGGGCGATGTACCCCCAGATCACTAATTCCACATCTCTAAGGCACACAGTTGTCTTTTTTTTTTTTTCCAAATAATTTAAAACGTTATCTTCCTAAAAGTCCTGTCTTTGAAAAGAGACCCCCAGCTCTCTTCAAAGACCTCTGAACAAAAACCTGGCCAAGGAATTTCTGTGGAAACTAACAGCCCCAATGAAAGTAGTCAAGTCTTATCTTCAGATGTGTCTCAGATAAAAACAGAATCGGAATCACAGAGATATCACTAAAAACTCTACCGCGCGGTTAGAACACAGTTCTAACATTGACCAAAGCTGGAATGCTCTCTTGTCACTATCATTTCATCGGAGTGATGACTACATCATCCTGACACATGCGTTTAACTTTCTCATAGAATTGAGAGCAGATCGTGTAACATTTACGTGTATCGCTTCAAGTGCTTTAACTATGACTTACTCAACAAACGTTTACCGAGTATCTCCCTTCTAGGTACCAGGTAGACCCTTAGGCATTGGCTTCTCAAAGGTAAACAAGACAAGGTTTTGTTTGCCAAATGAACTGTCTTATCCATCTTCAAATGTTCACCATCTGTCAGTTCTTCTAAAGATTACAAATAGGCTAAAGAAACTGCTTCCTGAGCTCTCGGCAGGAAGGTGGCTCTAGCCACGCCTGACGAAGGAGGGGCTGATGCTGGAGAAATGGGCCTTGGCATCCGGGAGGCTCACGGCTTTACTGAACACATTAGGAGAGGAAATTATTTAGGGGGGTCCCAATGTGCACTCTGTTCTGAAATGGCTGCTCTGATTGAAATCATTATGGGTAATTTCAGCAAAACCAATATTGTAATTATTTGTAAATGTTGGTTTGCAATTCAGAAGCAATCGGTAGGTTGCTCCAAGAAAACCCCTGGGGTTAATTACACCTTCGGAATTTAGCTTTAGCCATGAGTCAAATCCAACCCCCCCCCCCCAAATATTTTATGTAAAGACTAAAAAAAACCCAACAGCACCTTAAAAATAAACCTTGCCGATAACAAATATAAAATATTAGGCAGCCCTGGTATTTGCTGGAAGAATGTAAATCGTGTGTGCCAGAAAATAAGAAGATACCACGGAGACGGCATACAGTCAGAAATGTTACAGGCAGGTCCTATAAATTCCCCTGAGAGATCGTAATTGAAATGTCTATTTCTGGCCTTGCGGATTGTAGGTTGTCATTTTTGTGCAATTGTGCCCTAAAATTGGAGTTGGCTTCATGCCCCTCCCCTGGTCAGCACAAGCCCTGAGGTCAGAAATCTTACTGCTGGGTATCTGAGTTCCGCAACACAAATTATAGCAAAGCCCAGGGCATGTGGACAGCATTTGTGAATCTGAGAAGGAAAACAATACTCTAGTTCTCACTGACAAATGCCTAAGTACCAAGAATTCTATTTATCTTCTGACTGAAGTGCTCAGGGAGGCCCGACCCACACTCTTTCCTCATCCACTTGGGTTCGGACGGCACAGGGTTTTGGGCATCTGAGTGCAAACCAGGGACGGATGTAGGGCTCCCATGGACTCTCTCCCTTCTTCTATCAAACAGGATTGTCTGGCATCACGAATCCTGTTACTTTTGCGTATCCTAACTCCTGCTCCCTGTCCTGAATTACTTCTTGCAAGCGATGTGAAACCAATCTGAAGCATATGGATGCCTTTTTGCTACTTGTTTAGAAAAGTCCACAGTGTATGATTTGGCTATTCAAATAGGAAGCCCATTAGGTCTTTCCAACTTAGGAACGTTGGAAATTACAAGAGGTGAGAAGTTTGGCTGGTCCTTGGCAGATGGGCAAATTACCTAAGGGAAGCAGGATGTGCGGTTACTAGCCTACTTGTCCTTCCTGAGACCTAGCTCTCTGCCGAACAGGTGAGTCCAATGTGCCTTGGAGCCTCCAAGTCCCTGTGATGCCCCCTCTGACGGCCCACCTGGCTACTCTAGGGGTACCGAGGGGGCTTTCTGACAGTCCTAGCGAGGGGCCAACAGTGGGATGGGTTTCCATTTGTCCTAAGCCCTGGGCCCCCAAAACAGTCCTTGGGAGTCAAGTGTTCCTTTTCTCCTGAGCTCTTTCCTCTTTGTTTTTAAGAATTTGCTTGTGCTAACACACCCTAACTCTTTGCTTTCCCGGTTACAGGTTCCAGGAAACCCTGGGGGGCATGATGAGTGGGTACGGCTCTTATAGAAAGGACATTTCATTCTGAGGCCACGGTCATGGGGGCATCTGGCCTACACGTCCCTTTCAAATTGGGTTCCTTGGGGATTATGAATGTGAGTGCGTGAGCTGGGGGGCGGGTGGGGAGACCAATGGCAGCCTGGGGCATGAGTGAAACAGCAACAAATGAACTTCGACAGACTGAACCACAGAGGCACCGAGTCCCTTCTTGTGGGTGTCATGAAAACACCAACAGATTAATTGATCAATTATCTTTGTTTCATCAACCTAAAAAGAAAATATGACCACGAAGGTGTGGCTTGTGGCTATGGGGCTGGTCCAGGCTGGGGAAGTTAGGACCAAAATAACATCTAACAATTAGCTCAGCTCCTGCCTCCGAGGCCGCA